CCAAGCTATATAAGATTCTGAATTTAGCATTGATTTAAACAAGCGCACGTCGGTTAGAACCTCATTAGTTATGTCATTGCTCAAGCGCAACAGTGACTTTTCATGTTGCAAAGAGAGATTTTTTTTTAACTTTCAGAAAAACAAAAAAAAGAGAGTTAATTTTACACAAATATAAAACTTTTATGAAACGTATATGTATGCATGCATATCGACCAAAATTGTTAATTCAAGAGTCAATCGGGAAAATGCACTATTCTGTTTTTTGTAGTTTCTATGAAGGAGACAAAATGGTTACATAAAAGCTAGTATGAACAAGGGTGTGGTTACTCATTTTGTGGAGATGGAGAACCTCCAAAAGTTCCAAGAGAGTTAGGGTCAAGCTTTGCTCTAGAAAGCAAAAGATACTTTAAGATCTTAAAAGGTCGATTCCCTCTGTTATTGGTGGGTTCAAACTGCTTACCTGTTTTTGCTTAATTTAGTGAAAATTTCTCGAATTGCTTAACTATTTGTTAAGTATGCTTTGCTACTCATAGTTTTTTTAGTCGAGTTGGTCAGCCATGTTTGTTAAAAACCGTTTGTGTTTAAAATTAATATGATCGTTAAGAGAAAAGTACATAAAAACCCATTGTACAAAGATTGTGCTAAATAGTTAATTCATTACGAAAAGGATATTTCTTTGTAATAAATTGTGAAAACATATATTTTTTTGTTTTTTGATGATTATTGGTTAATCTTTTACTTATGAAGAAGTTTAGTGGTTTTTACTCATGACTTTGGAAATAGAGCTTCTTTGCTTTTTTATTCATGCAAAACTTGTGGATTTTCTTTACAGTATCTAATTAGTAATTACTAATATCGATAGAGATGTCATTTTGAGAGCTCTATACTACATCAAAAGGGAGAGTGAGGCAAATAGGTTTTGATGGGAACTCATCGAGAGGATGTGGACAAAAATATTGAAGGAGGCATTGCTGATATAATTGGTGTTGATCTTGCTAATAAGTTTCACACAGCATGTAACAAAGATGACCAAGTTGCCTTTTCAGGCTTTGGTGTCGTGCTGCCATTTATTCAATCCTTGTTAAAATCAAACTTCTTCAGGAAGCATTAGTTCGACTGACATTCAAGAATAGTGCTTTGATTGTTTATGTTTGTACTACTCTTCAAAGAGCTCAGTTTCTTTCACTCCCACACGTCCTCTTAGCTGATGTGGAAAAGGCTAGGAATTTAGTAGCAGCAATATATTACTGTAATTTGCTATACAAGGTTTGATCTTATTGAGTAGTATTTGTGTTCATGTCTAGCAGCTGGAACATGATGTTGGTCAATATGTTCACTGTCGAGATGGGCTAAATTTCAACCTCCTAGGAGCTTGTGCTTTGGTCAACCTATTAACAGGTCTATGACTGCAAATGCTATTGAGTTTACAATATCAATAAGCAACAAGTTTGTTTATAGTTTTTGTATTGGTTACATTAATTTTTCGTAAAGTTTGAAATCTTTTTTTCTTCTATTTTGCTTCTGAAATTTTTTTTTCCTCTCATTTTGAAATAGCATTGATGCAGTTGAAGACCGAGATTTTATCTTGGAGTTTTTATTTGTAAACTTCAACACTGCCACTCATGTTTCACAGCTTGGTTACCATGGGTCTTTCAGGTTATTGGCATCATGTCCTCAAACGATTCTCCTAGGGTCATGTGTGATATGGTGAATGCGATGACACTGTCCCAAGGAGTGCCTCTTGCTTCCAACCGGAATTTTTCAAGAGTACAAAGAACTGATCTTCACAAGTACGAAGATGATAATAACAATGATTGATGGTTGTGTATCGTTTCACATAATTTGACACTCAGCCAAGATGTGATAAACAAGAGTGTTCCCACTAGACACATCGATGATCTTTCTAATTACGTAATGCTATTGTTCTGTCTATGTAAAATTTTCACTCTTTAGCCTCGGTCAAATATGCAGCCAAGATATTACTCTACCTCACTCTCTTCAGCCTCG